TTTAAAATATATTCAAATAGAAAACAGTTACTTTAAATTCACAATATTACTGTTTTTACTGTAATTTTGATCAAACAAATGCAGCCCTGATGAGCATTAGAGGCTTCTAAAATATTAATTAATAAAATAAAATTAAATTAAAAATGTAATAAAATAAAGAAAACTATTAATAGTCAGCGCCAATAGCCTCGTGGGCAGTGCGCCAACATATGCGTTTCAGGTGTCCCCGGTTCGAGTCCCGGCTTGCAGACATTTCCCGATCCCATCTCCCTCTCTCTCTCCCTATTCACTTCCTGTCAACATACTGTCCTGTCTTAAAGGGGTCATATGATGCGATTTCAAGTTTTCCTTTCTCTTTGGAGTGTTACAAGCTGATTGTACATAGATAAGATCCCTGAAGTTGCCAAGACTAAAGTCTAGGGATGTAACGATTCACTCAACTCACGATTCAATTCGATTCACGATTTTGATTTCACGATTCGATTCACGATTTTTTTATTATTATTTGTTTTTTTACAAAATGAGATTTAAGACAAATTATAAATTAAATGTGTCATTTTATTATTGCTTGGACAAAATGCTGCACATTTCTTTGTGAAATTTAAATATAACACTATAATAATATACTAATATAGCACTTGCATATTATTCCTCTTCTGTTCCTCTTTGATTACTTTTATTGTACTCATTTGTAAGTTGCTTTGGATAACAGTGTATGCTAAATAACAAAATTTTAATATAATGTAAATGTAAATAACAAAACTAAATTGAAATTTTAAAACAAGCCCCAAATCAAATAAATAACACAAATAAAAGAAATCTCTTCATATAAACAAACTAGGGCTTTGTCTGTGCTCTTTCCATTTAAAATTAGAGATTAAAATGAATCATGATCCAAACAAAGATGCTGCATACATGCAACATGTGCAGTTTTTAATCTAAATTGGATTGTATAATTTTGAAATTTGAAGCAAAAACAGAACTAGTTTTGTGAAACTATACATAAAAATATCTGCATGAAACAGCGGATGAGCTGAATGAGACGCAGATTCACTCTCTGCCAGCAGGTGGCGCTTAAAGCACTTATGAACAGCAATGATGCAGTGTTAACGTCTGTGATACATTACTCAACGCTGCAAAAACACGTAGAAACCACTGAAGCTCCCCTGAGCGCAATCACAAGTATGATGATCTGGTCAGTCGCACTGCTCCTAAAAAGAATTTCATAGTTGCACGCAGTAGTTTTCAGTCGCAAATGCAACTGAAATGGTCGCACTGTAGAGCCCTGCATCTAAACTTTTCTAAAGACAGTAAGTTCCCCTCAGACATACATTCATATAAACTCCTACTGGTAAGGGGCGTTACATTTCCGACGAGTGCTTGCGTTGTTCGGCCAATCACAATGCACTGGGTCAGCTGGCAAATCAGAGCAGACTGCGCTTGTCGGAAGGAGGGACTTTGTAGAAAACGAAGCGTTTGAGAGAGGCGGGGCATAGAGGACCTACAATAATGTACAGTATTTGAAAAATAATGTGTTTTTTGAACATTAAAGCATGTCAACATATTCTGTTACACCAAATAATGATCTTTAAAAAAGCATAATATGACCCCTTTAACAAAGGCTAAAAAAGCCAAAAATAAATCTTTAAAAAATATATTTTAAAAAATGTTATAAAACCCCAAACTTTTGATCGATTGTGTATCTTGGTCGTTCACTTACTACGGTGTTCACTGTAAACAAAGGCAGTTTCCTAAGTTGAGCCAGTTGATCTGATTGCTTGCCTCTTTAGGATTATCCCATATCCTTTACTAGATATAGGCTGGTGATTAACAGCACAGGCCAAACACAGACCTCTCCAGCCAGTCCAGAGGTAATCTAACCCTCACCAATAGAGGCATCTGATCTGTGCTGTGTCTGTCTAAGGCTCTTGTCACTAAATGGTCAGGTGAGCGGAAATCAGATCAGATTTCACAAACAGAGAGATCAAATTCAGATGAATCCGGTTTGAAACCCTTCCTATCATTTGACTGAGGATCAGAGCTGGATTACAGAACGGGCCAGAAGGCCTTACACCAGGGATCCTCAAATCTGGCCCACGAGATCCACTTTCCTGCAGAGTTTAGCTCTAACCCTAATCAAACACACCTGAGCATGCTAATCAATGTCTTCGGGATCATTAGAAAATCACAGGTAGGTGACTTTGATCAGGGTTGGAGCTAATCTCTGCAGCGCATTGGCCCTCCAGGGCAAGATTTGAGGAACCCTGCCTTACACTATGAAAGGTCTCCAAAGATTTGTGGTACCAAAACTTACTGAGGAAGTACCCCTAGTGCATAAATCGCAAAGAAACAGATAGAGCCCCCGGCCCCTCTGTGCAGAAGACCCTAAGTTTCTTAACACAAAGAGAATTTGCTGACCATTAGAGCCCTGGGCTGACCTCTAAGGCCCCCGGGCCCCTCAGGATGCAGTGCAAAAACTTGAAAAAAAAATGAAAAAAAAAGAGGTCTACACTACAGTCTACAAAGACGTCTGCCCAGGGGCCTCACTAGACAAAGAATAGGGCCTAAAAATCTAATGAGCTGCCAACCTAGACTAGCATTTTAAGGTGCATGACTAAAAATCCAGGTCGCTGTTTATCTAAACATTTTTTGGACATGTGTTTCTCAAAAGCTAGTTAGCTGCCTAGATAGGCATCATTTTGGGGTGTGTTTCTCAAAACCTAGTTAGCTGTCAACCTAGACAGATTTTTTTGGGCATGTCTCTCAAAACTTAGTGAGTTCCTTAAGACTCAGAGAAATTGCTGACCATTAGAGCCCGGGCTCCTTGGCACAGATGGCACAAGATAACCACTAGGGCCCCCAGCGCATAGAGAATCTGCTGACCTCTAAGGTCCCGGGACCCACAGGATGCAGTTCAAAAAAAGGGTGCAGAAAACTATTAGCAAACCAAACATGACTGTCACTTGAAAAAAAAAGAGGTCTACACTACAGTCTACAAAGACATCTGCCCAAGGGCCTCACTGGACAAAGAATAGTGCCTAAAAATCTAATGAGCTGCCAACCTAGACTAGCATTTTTGGGCATGTTTCTCACAACTTAGTAACCTGCCTATTTAGACAGCATTTTAAGGTGCATTACGACAAACAGCTCACTGGATTTTATTGAAACATTTTTGGACATGTTTATCAAAAGCTAGTTAGCTGTCAACCTAGACAGATCTTTTGGGCACATCTCTCAAAACTTAGTGAGCTGCCTATTTAGAGACAGCACCTTTGGGCGTGTAACTAAAAATCTAGTGACCTGCCTGTCTAAACAGCATCTTTTGGCGTGTGTCTGAAAACCTAGTGAGCTGCCTAGAGCCTACTTAGACATCATTTTCAGTGTGTCTCAAATCCTAATAAGCTGCCTTGCGAGAGAGCATTTTTGGGCATGTCTCTCAAAACCTATATTGAACTGCCTAGCTAGACTGTATTTTTCCCGTCTGACCGTTGTAATGGCACCTGGACTGTTTTGGGCAATGTCTTGGCAGACAGTTCACTAGGTTTTCAGACGCAGCCAGTGTGTATGTGTAAGGGAGCTGTCTAACAACCGTCTTATCTAGTGATCATCAGTTGTGGTGGGTGATCCGCGGTTGTCTGACCAGCTGGCCTCTTACCCTCGGACGTCAGGCGGCAGAAAGGCCGCAGCAGCTCGGGGAAGCTCAGGCTGTTTTTGCGGGTCACTCTCTCCGCATCCTCGCTGCACAGGACGGCCACCATCGGCACGAACGAGTCCTGGATGAACTCCTGCACTGACTGCACGCACTGAGCCATGAGAGCACCTCGTCTGTTCCTCACCGAGCTCACGGATCCGCTGCTGAGTTGAAAACAAACACCTCCTTTACTGACAGCCGACGGCAGACATGTTGAAATCTACTGCTGCCTGCTGATCGATTTTGCCCAAGAAGCTTAGCGGCGGTCAGGTGACTGTACTTCCGCAATGACATAAAAGCTCTGCGTCTGCCATAATAAAAGCCCTGGTGTCCCTAAATAACCTTTTTACTTTCGGTACTGAAAAATAGACAAAGAGACATGCTGACAGGCAGATATACTGTATAGAGTGTTGAATCAACACAAAATTGGTGTCAAAAGGTTTAAAAAGTGTAACATTAATACCACTGGGTAGTGTGGACACGTATAACATATAAATGACCCTTAACGTAACAATGATGTTACATTTTATATAATGGATATTAACACTGACGATTTTGCAGTTTAGATGGATGGATGGATGGATGGATGGATGGATGGATAGTGGATATTACTGTAACACTGACGATTTTGCAGTTTGGATGGATAGATAGATAGATAGATAGATAGATAGATAGATAGATAGATAGTGGATATTAACACTGACGATTTTGCAGTTTAGATGGATGGATGGATGGATAGTGGATATTACTGTAACACTGACGATTTTGCCGTTTGGATGGATAGATAGATAGATAGATAGATAGATAGATAGATAGATAGATAGATAGATAGATAGATAGTGGATATTAACACTGACGATTTTGCAGTTTGGATGGATGGATGGATGGATGGATAGATAGTGGATATTAACACTGACGATTTTGCAGTTTAGATAGATGATGGATGGATGGATAGATAGATAGATAGATAGATAGATAGATAGATAGATAGATAGATGGATAGATAGTGGATATTAACACTGACGATTTTGCAGTTTAGATAGATAGATAGATAGATAGATAGATAGATAGAACGTAGGTGAAACCTAAAGTTACAGCTCTGTCTATATTAAAGTCCCCGAGTCGCATCACTAAATATTTGTTTACAAAATTAGTACTTTTCAGGTTAAACCGGTTCTATATTTATCATCATGAAAAGAAAGCAGCTGAAGCAAACATAATACACTCCCTCTTTATGACAATAAGGAAGTTGGGCTGCATTTAAGCTGTACAACCTAAGTGAAGATATCAGAAGAGACTAGACTGCCAGTAGACAGACAGACAGACTAAACAGCAGACGATTTGGACATGTCCACTTCAGAGGAAGATTGTCCTGTATGCAGGGAAAACATACAGAATCCTTCTCAACCATCTTCATGCTGTGGAAAAGTGTAAGTGTGGCTTATATTTGGCATAGATGGGGATTTTGGTGACTTCATGTGGAGACTTTACAAACTGACAAACTTGTGGATCAAACTTGTAGGCATTTAACATAATTTAACATATGCTAATGCATAGTTTACAATTTTATACAGTAATGCCTTGTATAAAAATGTGTAGTTGTAAAATATATGTGATAAGTGATTGTAAATCAAACTCATTCAATAAATCAAATTTTCTCCAAAAAGTGCTTTTGTAGTTGGAAACAGTTTTTATGTTGGACATTTATTTTATTTGTTTGTTTTTTTCATGTGCTATACATCTGCAGCCTCTCCTTATTCACAAGTACATATCATTTCTGATAAATAACCTGAGCATTTACTGGCAGCAAAAAGCGAAAGTATTTCTAAAGGGAAATTCCATCACATGGTTGGTTGACAACGATTACCAGCCTTGCCAGCCAATCTTTTATCTTCATGTTGATAGTAGTTGATTATTTTATGCTCTCTCACAAGTACATTTGTCTCTCTTTGTACTTTCAGAATTTGCCAGCGATGCCTCAGTCAGTCTTTTCGATACAGGGCTCATTGTCCACACTGCAGAAGCTCAGTAGGCAACCGTGATTATGCAAATAATCCATTCCTAGTAAGTAAAAACCTAGTAAAGTGAGTAATAAATATCAGTCTCTGTGAGTGGAGGTCATCAAGGATTGCATGCTTATGTATATTTTTTGTTTCAGCCTCCTGGTAGGAGGAGGCATCTGCACCCAATCCTGCCAGGGGATTTTAATTCAAGAAGACCTGTTGGTGCAAACATACATACGTAAGTCCCAGGCTAGTTTCATTATTTAGTGTATTTTCTGTCAAATGCTAAAGAATTCATCATTTCTTTTAAACCAACAGCCTCTTCGGCCAACTTCGAGATTCACTGGGACAACAGGCAGACACTGCTGCTCAAGCCAGTCCACCCAATCAGGCTGCAGTGCCACCCACCCCACAGAATCAAGCCCCTTCCCCTTTAATTTCCTCTGCACGGCCCGTTCCTATGCCTCGGATCAGAGCTCCACTTGCAAATGTAATTGCTGCCCCACAACTTGCACCCATTACTGTTGCCCCAAGTGGTCTTATCCAAGTCCTCCTGCCACCTGCCCCAGCTCCACTGCCGCTAAACCCCGCCCCATCCCAGGATAATGTGCAGGCTGCAATGGATGAATGGTAAGTCCCATCAAGAGGATAATTATTTGATTGATATTATGGTTTGGATAACTCATATTCTGTTTCACTCACAGGCCATGGCAAACGGAGATCACTCTAATGGAGATTAATCCACAACCACAGGGGTGAGGACATCTGTTTATTCACTTCTGTTCACGAACACACTACATTGCCAAAAGCTTGCAGAAAACTCCTTTTAATTAACATGCTTGGTTATTCCAGTAGTTCAACAAATCCTAATCATAAGGCACACAATGATGGGGGTTTTCAATATTTTAGATGCCATGCACAGACCCCCAAATAGGATCATTCTTAGGACTCCCATCCTAAAATTTAAAAGGCAGCTAAAATATCAGCTATATATTTTTATATATGTGTACCTGGACCACAAAACCAGTCATAAGTCGCACAGGTATATTTGTAGCAATAGCCAAAAATACATTGTATGGGTCAAAATTATCGATTTTTCTTTTATGCCAAAAATCGTTAGGATATTAAATAAAGATCATGTTCCATGAAGATATTTTGTAAATGTCCTACTGTGAATATATTAAAACTTAATTTTTGATTAGTAATATGCATTGCTAAAGACTTCATTTGGACAACTTTAAAGGCAATTTTCTCAATATTTGATTTTTTTGCACTCTCAGATTCCAGATTTTCAAATAGTTATATCTTGGCCAAATATTGTCCTATCCTACAAAAAAAACATACATTAATGGAAAGCGTATTTATTCATAAATCTTAAATCTGAATAAAAAAAAACTGACCCTTAAGACTGGTTTTGTGGTCCAGGGTCACATATAATGTATATAGCAATCATATATAATATATCCAATCCAAATACTTTCATACTTGTTTACTTTAATCATTTTTATTATTTATTTTAATATATTTGTATTTATTTTAAGATTTCATTATTTATTTATTTTAATCTTCTATTATTATTTATTTATTTATTTCAGTATTCATTTATTTAAATATTTTTTATTATTTATTTATTTGTTTTTCTCTAAAATTTACACGGATCCCTTATTACCCCCATTGCGTTCCCCTGAAAACCCGTTCTAGATGACTGTACCTGGACAACAGCTTGGAAAACCCCTTACTGTGCACAAAGTGAAAATGAAAATGACATTATTTTACTACATCTCTTGCTAAACTGGTGCTTACAACACTTTCATCTCATTTTTCTTGCCCACAAGCTTTTGTCCAAAATATAGTGTACAATCCCATGATATAATGCACCATTTACACAATCCAAAAATGTCGCTATTTCAAAATAGTATTTATTTATGTTGGCATATCTTTTTAGAAAGATAATCAATAAGATCATTAAAAATAAAGGTACTTTATTGGCATCTATGCTACATGCAGAACCTTTAAAATTCCATTGCACAAAAGGTTCTTTATAGTGAAAAAAGGGTTCTTCAGATTATTTGGGGAACCCAAAATGATTCTGAAAACAATTTCCCATTTTAGAACCTTTATTTTTAGCAGACTTAAGCATTTTGCTAAAAACATTTAAAAATAGTCTTTGACATTCACTAATTTTCCTGATTTTTTTTTTCTTTTCAGTTTAACTGTGAGGACTTTTGTGTGTCCGTACTGCCAGGAGAATGGACTGGATGAACTTGATCTACGTGATCACTGCAATGAACATCATGCCAATGACAGCAAACGAGTGGTCAGTCACCATTCATGTACATCACGTCGAGTGATTCTAATAATTAATCATGTGTTGAATTAAACTTACAGCACAATCTATTATTGGTTTGAAAAAGCAGATTGTCCCACCTCAAATTCACACTTGATGGAACCAATGTTGCAAAATGGTTGGTTGTGGTGCTCATACATACACAGCAATGGTTTGATAGCTCTAAAAGTCACAGTGCTACACTTTTCAGGTGGGATCAACCTATAAATGGCTTACTTTTATTTTAACACCCCCAAATTACACACTTCAGTTTTAAATGACTCAGTATTGCTGACTGCTATAGTATCAGAAACAGAAAACCCATCAAGATTGTTTGTGTGCTCTCTGGCGCCCTCTAGGTGTGTCCAGTGTGTGTGCAGACGCCCCATGGTGATCCACAGTACTACAGCCGCAACTTCATTGGCCACCTCAACCTGCGCCACTGCTACTACCTGGACGATATAACTGTAAGTCATGTACATGTACACAAATCAAAGAACTTTTCCCCAATAAATGTATTCACACACATGTCAATGTTTAACTGCAATCCTTTATTTCTATGAACCACAGAATCTCAACCAGACTGATGAGATGAACATTCAGTGTGCAATTCTAGCATCATATAGGGACAGTTTTTAAACCTCATTTTCAAAAAGATGACAGCACAGTTCTCAGGTGTTTTTCTGGACAACATGTTAAAAAATGCTTGGGAAGAAGATTCTGAACCACAAGGACATAAACTATTGAGAAATCAGTCAAAGAAATTGTATATTGAGGATGCTATATTGATGTATTTGACCAATGTTATGTAAAAATATAATATGTGTATATGTTGGATTTTTTTTTTTGATTGAAATGATTTTAGAGCAACAGAAAATGCTTGATTATCTGATTATGAGATAGTTTAAGAGGTAATGCATTTTCATATGCTATCTGATGCATCTCAGGTATTGATCATGCCTTTAAAATTACTAGTAATGGTTTATCTGCCAAAAACTTTTTGTACAATTGAACTCTTCTTGCACTTTCTTTTCAGATAAAATATTTATTGCATGTACTGTACACTTATGTTTGTGATATTGTTCGTGGGATTTACTTCGTGGGGAAAATGTTTGAATGAAGGGGTCAAGTGACATCAGGCTCTGTAAATCTATTTATGCTGCAACCCCATGTAAAAAAAAAAAAATGCAATAAAAGTTTGAATACAATAATCTACTGTGAAAAAGCTCATTTTTCATCAGAGACTGCAGAAAATGTGTGCAATTAAAGAAATAGTTTACTCAACTATGAACATTTACTGAAAATTGACTCACCCTAAGGCCATCCTAGATGTACAGTAGATGAGTTTTTTTTCTTCATCTGAACATATTTGGAGAAACTTAGCATTGCATCACTTGCTTGAAGTGTTCCTCTTTGTCACACACTCCACAGATGCTCTGTATGCTTGTCTGACTTTCTTGCAAGAATAAACCTTCTATTTTCTTAAACTACAACACTCTCCGAGTTATTGCCTCACATTCAGAGTTGAAAACATTTTTCCACTACATCTCTTGCAATGATGAGATTCCGTGATTGTTTCGTCTGGACCCAGGGATGTCGGTCGACTCTTCTACCCTGCATCATTCAGGGAAGAGAGGGACTGGCATCAGTGGGCCTGTACCTTCACCGCCAGAATCCAGGAAGAACCTTATTGAAAATCTGCATGAAATCTGGTGAGGTCTTTTTAATTCAGCATGTTTGTTTATAACTGGAGAAGATTTGCTGTTCTTGGTTACCACATACCTCAGGGCTGCTGTAGTTTCAGATTTGAAAGACAGTCTGGTACCAGGCAAATCAGGGAAACGGTTTGCAGACTAGACTCAAGGGGGAGTCTTTGGAAGATAATCTGGGCCCCTTATGACTGGTGGATACATGGTGTGCTTTTCAAGAGGTCTGAAATACCGGGCAGTTGGGGAAACGACTTGCCCCTCATGGTGACAATCACGAGGGTAAATTGCAGCTGCAGGGAAACAGAGACTAGGGTTGAATGGAGTGGTACATGCACTGTAAAAAATCCAACTTACATTTTGCATTACAAACTCAGTTTTTAAAGTTTATTCAACTATTTAACATGAAAAAAGTTGAGATAACACATAAAAGTAAGTAAAATAGAAATTTTGACCAATTTGTTTGACCAAATTAATATTTAAAGTTGGCACAACTAACAACTTTAAGTTATCACGAGGGAAAATTGCAGCTGCAGGGAAACAGAGACTCGGGTTGAATGGAGTGGTACATGCACTGTAAAAAATCCAACTTACATTTTGCATTACAAACTCAAGTTTTTAAAGTTTATTCAACTATTTAACATGAAAAAAGTTGAGATAACACATAAAAGTAAGTAAAATAGAAATTTTGACCAATTTGTTTGACCAAATTAATATTTAAAGTTGGCACAACTAACAACTTTAAGTTTGTTATAAGTATTGCCCACAAAGGCTGATGAGCATGCGCAGTTCGATCACTTTTTTATATACAACGCAATTTTAATTTCTCCCACTTAATTTTCGAGTTGTCTCAAGCGGCGCCTGTTTATTCTGTTATTGTGATCGCTCCGTAAGTGTCGTTCTGTGTGTATCAATTCACGATATGATTTAAATGAAATTTGTTCACAATATGCGCTTCTGTACAACATAGGTGGCGGCAAGTTAGTCAATTTTCCCGCCTGGTCTTATGAGTTACCTCAGGTCAGACGGCGGCAATTTTTTTTCTGACCGACAGTGTAATCGCTCCGGTAGGTGCTGTTCTATATACAATATTTACCATAAGACTTGAATTATGTTTGTTCAAAACATGTGCTTTTGTACACCGTATTTCCTTTCGTTTTAGAGTTGCCTCGGGCGGTGCCCGTTCAACGTTAGTCCGTCATTGTTATCACTCCGGTAAGTGGTGGTTCTTTGTGTATAAATTTAAGATATGATTTGAATGAAATTTGTTCACAATATGCACTTCTTTACAACGTATCGTTAGGTGGCTTCAAGTGAGTTCAATTTTCCCCGAGTTGCCTCAGGTCAGACGGCGCCTGTTTTTTTTCCGACAGTGTATCTTAACGTTAACATAATCGCTCCGGTAGGTGCTATTCTTTGTATAATAAATTACGATAATTTTTTTTGTTTGTTTTTTTCAAAATATGTGGTTTTGTATACAGACGTGGACTTCGAGTTGGCTCAGGCGGTGCCCGTTTAGTCCGTCCGTGATCACAGGGTAAGTTTTTTTTTTTTTTATGTGTAACGATATCAGGTTACGATATGATTTAAACGAAATTTGTTCACAATATGCGCTTCTGTACAACATAGGTGGCGGCAAGTTAGTCAATTTTCCCGCCTGGTCTTATGAGTTACCTCAGGTCAGACGGCGGCAATTTTTTTGTTTGTTATAAGTATTGCCCACAAAGGCTGATGAGCATGCGCAGTTCGATCACTTTTTTATATACAACGCCATTTTCATTTCTCCCACTTCATTTTCGAGTTGCCTCAAGCGGCGCCCGTTTATTCCGTCATTGTGATCGTGATAAGTGTCATTCTATGTGCATCAGTTCACGATATGATTTAAATGAAATTTGTTCACAATATGCGCTTCTGTACAACATAGGTGGCGGCAAGTTAGTCAATTTTCCCGCCTGGTCTTATGAGTTGCCTCAGGTCAGACGGCGGCCATTTTTTTTCTGACCGACAGTGTAATCGCTCCGGTAGTGATGCAATCGGTAATGTTTCAAAAGGACCTCCTGATCAGGGTGTTCAACTTTGCATATATTGCACTGCATCACCCTAATGAGAAAAAATAAACAATACAATGGTAGAATGAATTCTTTGGGCAACAACATAAGATTTTATTTATTTTTTTACCACAAGGGATACATGAATTCATTGCTAGAGAACATTATTAAAGAAGAACAACTTAAAATACCATCATAAAGCAAGCAAGAAAACAAATATTAAATATTAGTTGGTTGAACGAATATCAAATTTTTAAAACCAACTATGATTTTAAGCTTTAAAATAGCTCTTAAATTATTTGCATTTTTAAAACATACAGATACAGATTTATAGTACACTTAGCAAACATAAGCTACACAAATACTTTGCATTTAACAAGCAAATAAATGTAAATAACGTTAAATGAAGAAAATGCATCTTTTTTTTTTCTTAATACATTTAGAACTTCAATTACCTTATCCAAAACTCAAAGGCACCCACACAATTGTACAAAATGAACATATTATAAGCAAATAAAGTAAATTATATATCCTTAATCCTAATCTAAATCCTTTTACTTAATATGCATAAAACAGTAACGTTACTTACCCAAGTCATGACACTGTCGGGAAAAAACTGGCATCGTATGACTTGAGGCAGCTCGAAGACGAAGCAGAAGTTGAACGGACCAACTTGGAGCCACCTAACGTTAAGCAGTTGTACAGAAGCACATATTGTGAACAAATACCATTCAAATCTTATTGTAAATTATCACAGCCTGCATAGAACAGTACCTGCCAGAAAAAACTGGCGCCGTCTGACCCGAGGCAACTCGAAGACGAAGCAGGAAAATTGAACTAACTTGCCGCCACCTACACCGTTTTACAGAAGCGCATATTGTGAACACATTTCATTTAAATCATATCGTGAATTGATACACATAGAACGACACTTACGGAGCGATCACAATGACGGAATAAACGGGCGCCGCTTGAGGCAACTCGAAAATGAAGTGGGAGAAATGAAAATGGCGTTGTATATAAAAAAGTGATCGAACTGCGCATGCTCATCAGCCTTTGTGGGCAATACTTATAACAAACGAATTCATTGCTAGAGAACATTATTAAAGAAGAACAACTTAAAATACCATCATAAAGCAAGCAAGAAAACAAATATTAAATATTAGTTGGTTGAACGAATATCAAATTTTTAAAACCAACTATGATTTTAAGCTTTAAAATAGCTCTTAAATTATTTGCATTTTTAAAACATACAGATACAGATTTATAGTACACTTAGCAAACATAAGCTACACAAATACTTTGCATTTAACAAGCAAATAAATGTAAATAACGTTAAATGAAGAAAATGCATCTTTGGGACGAAAACACACAACCTTAACTTATATTGTTAAATTTGTTTTAACTTTTTTTTTTTCTTAATACATTTAGAACTTCAATTACCTTATCCAAAACTCAAAGGCACCCACACAATTGTACAAAATGAACATATTATAAGCAAATAAAGTAAATTATATATCCTTAATCCTAATCTAAATCCTTTTACTTAATATGCATAAAACAGTAACGTTACTTACCTAAGTCATGACACTGTCGGTAAAAAACTGGCATCGTATGACTTGAGGCAGCTTGAATACGAAGCAGAAGTTGAACGGACCAACTTGGAGCCACCTAACGTTAAGCAGTTGTACAGAAGCACATATTGTGAACAAATACCATTCAAATCTTATTGTAAATTATTATCACAGTCTGCATATAGAACAGTACCTGCCAGAAAAAAACTGGCGCCGTCTGACCCGAGGCAACTCGAAGACGAAGCAGGAAAATTGAACTAACTTGCCGCCACCTACACCGTTTTACAGAAGCGCATATTGTGAACACATTTCATTTAAATCATATCGTGAATTGATACACATAGAACGACACTTACGGAGCGATCACAATGACGGAATAAACGGGCGCCGCTTGAGGCAACTCGAAAATGAAGTGGGAGAAATGAAAATGGCGTTGTATATAAAAAAGTGATCGAACTGCGCATGCTCATCAGCCTTTGTGGGCAATACTTATAACAAACTTAACGTTGTTAGTTGTTCCAACTTTAAATATTAATTTGGTCAAACAAATTGGTCTAAATTTCTATTTTACTTACTTTTATGTGTTATCTCAACTTTTTTCATGTTAAATAGTTGAATAAACTTTAAAAACTGAGTTTGTAATACAAAATGTAAGTTGGATTTTTTACAGTGTAGGGAGAGGAAATAGACAATGAAGCACATGCCTGAAGGGAAAGTGATGAGAACAGATCCCTCTCCACAGAAATTTTCTTCGCCTCCTTCTCTTTATCCAGTAGATGAGTTGCAGTGTCTCAAGGTATGACTCCTGGCCCTATTCAAGACCACAATCACCACAACAACCACCACCACCGTACAATAAGGAAGCAACGGCCCCACTGACACCGCAGCAGAGGGAATCACGACTGCCTGCAGCCTCCCACCAGGTGACATCCATGACCCAGCAGTGGTCAGGGACTGGAGTAATGCCAACAATGCTGATTAAAGAGGAG